TCCAGGCCCACTGCCCTTGGCCTGTGGCAAGCCCCCCCTGGCTGTTCTCAGCTCTGCTCCTCACCTGTGCAGCACAGGTACAGAGTTCCAGTCCTGGTGTGAAATGTAACACACCAACACAATGTATTAAGAATGTCGATAATGACTAGATCGTACAAGTTAACAGCCTGCGGTAAGCAGAGAGCCCTGTGACTTACTGGCCTCAGGTGTGAAGCTGACCCTGCATGTCCTCTGCACCCCATACCCACCTTTAACATGGCATTAGGATGACATCACTTCCATAGAAGCCAGACCTGAGAACCTACAGGTCTCACCTCTCCCTGTTGCCCAGGCTAAGCCTCCCACCATGGTCACTTCAGCCACCTAAGGAAGGGCAGAGAGACCCCTCCGCATATCTCTCAGTGTTGAGAGTCAACAGGATCCCTTACATCTGTCCTCCACCAGATGTGAAAACTCAGAGCTGAAGACCTGTTTGCAGCAGTGATCATCTGCCTGAGAAAGAGCAGGAGGCTGGGCCCTTAGGGAACATGAGCTGGTCCCCAGGGTCCTGGTCAGCTGACCCTTCTTATGCCCCTCCCCAACACCCACCTCTGAAGCCTCTCTCACACACCCCTCCCTGATGTACCCCTCTGGCCTAGGAAGGCAGCTCTGGAGAGGGTGCTGGTGGAATTCTGACTCCAGCAACTGGAACCCACACCCTCTCTGCATGGTCTCTGCCAACCACCAGCTACCACCACACACACATAGATCCAAGGAGACCCTGTTGGATGCAGTGCTCAGCCAGTGGTCCTGTGGCTTACCAGGTCTGCTGGCTCAAAAAATGGGCTTCAGTCTGCATCCAGGCATGGGACTCAGTGCCCCTAGGAACCAAGAGAGACATGAGGATGGAGAGACTTAGGGAGAATCAGAGAGATACAGACAGAGACAGATGCAGGGTGAAGAGAGATGGAGAGGGACAGGCACAGAGACAGTTACAGAGAGACAGAGACACAAAGAGGCCAAGAAACTGCCACCATACCTCACAAGCACTTACTGGTGCTTCCCGCCTGTGAGTTCCAGGAGTGGGTGTCATGGAGAAGTCATTTTCTCCTGCTCATTCCTCAGAGAGGAACATCAAGACCTACCCTAGGCCATGGGGCCACCTCACCACACTGCAGGTCAGAAAATGGCAGGACAGACATGAGGAGAATCCACGTCCACTTCCCTTTCTGCCTGACCTCTCCTTCCCATGGAGATGGAGCCCTGAGGACTCTTGTGACCCAGCTGCACTTACCCCAAGGGCAACCAGTCCCCATTGCCTGCCTGCAGGTGTCACACACCCTGCCGAACACACACACAGGATGCCCAGTGGATCTTTGGGAGCAGGCAGCAGGGGTGTGTTAGTCCTGCAGAACAGACTCACTCCCACTCGGGTTTAGAGCAGTACTCACACCGGTCCACTGAGCGGGCATCAGCAGCTCTGTGGGCTCGGCTAGTGTCTCTGCTTAGGGACTCATGAGTCAAAATCAATGTGCCCCAGCTAGGCACACCTGAAGCCTGGGGGTCTCATTTGGGCATGGTGCACTCCAGATCCTTGGGGACAGAGGACTCAGAGCCCCATTTCTTTGCCGGGCATCCAACTGGGACAGTCACCTCCCTGTGCTTTTACCTTGAATGGGATACAAATCCCTCCCCCCTCCCTCCTCTGCTGCCACCAGGCCAGTCTGAGAAGGTTGTGTTTTCAAAGGCCCTCGGTAGATCGATCAGGCCCACCCAGTCACCTAGCCTAAAGGTCACATGCCAAGCAAAGTAAGCCAGCCCTGGGGCCAAGGCAGTCTGACTGTAAACACATCTAGGCTATTTGAGCAAGTTTCTAAGACACTCTTTGTGCCCTTGAAACCTCTATTGAGATAAGACCCTGACTCTACAATGAGTAAGTGGATGATCTGAGAGCAGTTAACTTAAGAAAACCAATGCGTAGGGGCTGGAGAGATGGCTCAGCAGTTAAGAGCACTGGCTGCTCTTACAGAGGACCCAGGTTCAGTTCCCAGCATTCACGTGACGGCTAACAACAATCCTTAATGGGCTAGTGGATCCGACGCCTTCTTCTGGCCTCTGCAGGCATTGCACACACAAGGTGCACTTATATACACGTGGGCAAAATACTCTTATGCATAAAATAAAAAATATTTTTCAAAATATTTTAAATAAAAAAAGAAAACCAGTATGCGAACATTTCATTGATTGCACTGCAAGATGTCATCCTAGAAGATTTTTTCAGGACACATGAAGTCCCACCACATACTGTCATCTTGGACCTAAAGTACTTGGGCCTCAGTTTCTCCATCTGCAAAGCAGGGCTGGAGGCAAAAACCAGCCGTGTAGAGAGTTGTTAGTGCAGCCCAACCCAATGCCGACAGTGTCTTCTTGATGAAAACCTCCAGAATGAGTTCCAGGCAACGCTCAAAGCCCCCATGGACTGTACATGTCATCATGGTCCTAAGAGGAAGTTCAACCCACAAGGAAGACGGAAGAAGAGGGGTCAACCAAACAAGGGAGAGGATTGGATTCCACACATCAGCAAGGCTGTCAGTCCAGGGCGTCACACTTCCTTCATGTTCACGTCTGCCTGTCTTCCCCCTTGTGATGAACACAAAAAAACCCATTTGTGTGGGATGCTCAGATCTGCAAGATAGAGGAAATGTGGACCATGCCCCTCCACCAACGCACTGCCACGCACTCCCGTGACACTGTGCCCAGCCTGAGAGCCCATGGGGAGAAGTCTTAGAAATTTCCAAAAATCATCCAATGTGATTCAAACCTGTGCGAGCAGCAGTTACAGCCAGCGGACTACAGGCTGTGAGGTGGTGACCACGTGTGCTCCTTATCTACCCAGGGACTCCTGTCACTAAAGATGGCACCCCAAAACTATAGTAGAACAAAGTAGCTTTAATTTTAGCTCAAAATTACTTTGTTTGGAAGTCTCCCTGAACTTTGACTGTGCGTGTCATTGTGTGCCTGCTGCTGACAGGATGAAGGCAAGCACATCAGGAAGCGTCTCCCCAGGACTAGCCAGGCACAGATGACCGCGACATGGCACAGACAGTTCAGAACCAGAGTCTGCCCATCACTGGGAAAATCATCACCGAGCCATTCAAGAGTTTTAAACACAGGGTTGGGGACATAGTCAGCAGTAGAGTATTAGCCTAGCATGAACAAGCCCCTGGATTCCATCTCCAGCAACCCCTCCCCAAAATTGAATTTTTGGGGGCGCCAAACATGGTGACACATGACTGTCATCCTAGCACTTAGGAGCCTGAGGCAAAAGGACCATGAGTTCGAGGCCAGCCTGAACTATGTAGTGAGTTTAAGACCAGCCTAAGCTACAGTTGAGACCCCGCCTCAAAAGACCAAATGAGTTTTTTAGAAGATTTTTAAACACTTCCTTTACGGTCTTCTCGGATTCCTGGGAATCAGTCCGCATTCGCCTCCTTATGACCCTCTCTGTCTCCTGGGAAAACCAGGCTCTAGGCGTGACACATAGCTTAAAGGGTCGATTTCCGCTCAGGGCTGCAAGAAACATACCATTCCCAGGTATGTGGGGCCCACAGATGCGGTGAGCACTGGTGTCCCCCTTCAGCCTGGTGGGCTGCACTCCACCTGGAGCCGGGGGCACCTCCAGTACAGGCGCCTCTCCTGGCCGCCTTGGCATGGCACCACCTGGCTTTGGAGGCCTTGCAGCCAGATGTGCCCAAATTAATGGGGGATGTACTTTGGCAGAGCAGAGAGGACGTCATAGGGAGGCATGGTGTTGACCTGGGAAGGCCTGGAGCCAACCCTTCCCACTTTCCAAATGTTGGTTCTCTCCCCAAAGTTCCAGGTTCCATATGCCCCATGCCAACCCTCTCTCCTGCCCCAAGAGCCTGTCAACCATGCTAAGTCCTCCACCTCGCTCTATCCTGCAGTCTCAGCCTAATGCCCCCCGAGATGCACCCCCAGCCTCCCCTGTTCCTGGAAGCTTCTGCCCTTACCCCCAGTGATGGATCACTTCCCTCTCTTTACTGTGTTCCTCCCTTCTCATGAGAAGCACCAGGGGCTCCCATGTCTGGTTGTTTGGGTTTTTTTTTTTAACCTTTTGATTTATTTTTATTTTATGTGTATGAGTGTATTGCTTGCATGTGTCTAAGTACATCTGTGTCATGCAATGCCCACAGACACCAGAAGACAGTGTCAAATGTACTGGAACTGGATTTACAGATAGTTGTTAGCCACCATGCGGATGCTGGAACTTGAACCTGGGTCCTCTGCAAGAGCAGCTAGTGTTCTTAACTGCCCAGCCCCCTTCCATGTCAGTTTTATTGCCAAACAATCTAAGGTCCAGCCCAGAACTTGGCCCCTATGAGCTGTTCATAGGCACTTTTGGAACAGGAAGAAGAAGGGAAGAAGGAAGGAAGGAAGGAAGGAAGGAAGGAAGGAAGGAAGGAAGGGGGGAGGGAGGGAGGGAAGGAAGGAAGGAAGGAAGGAGGAGGGGGAGGG